AAGCGAGCCCATTCTCGCTCAAGCGAGAAAATTCCGCCTATTTTAAAAACTCAGATCTGATCCTCTCGCCCATGCGAGGAAACTCTCGCTCAGACGAGGCATCTCTCGCTCAAGCGAGGACCCTCTCGCTCAAGCGATGATCTTACAACCTCGACATGTCCAAAACATCATTTTTCTCGCTCAGGCGAGTCAACTTTCACTCAGACGAGACCACTTTTGCTCAAGCGAGCCAACTCTCGCTCAGGCGAAAATCTTTCAGTATAGCCCATGATTTCACCCTCCCAGGTGAGCCTTCCTCGCCCAGGGGAGAATCCCTCGCTCAAGCGAGAATCTCAGGACTGATACTATAATTTTAAAGACTTAAAATTAGGGTGTTACACATTGGACCCAATTGTGAACGGATTTGGATCCTCTCCGGTATTGAACAGTGTAGTACTGAAATATTAGGTTCAGAATAAGTTGAAGTTTAAAAAAACTTTAATTGAAAATAAATGAAAATTTGCACCGTTAATTTTTTTAAAATGACATATGTCACAATCTCAGACTCTATTGAACTCTCCGGGAGATGATCCGAATTCATTATAATATCTAGAATGTATAGTTGTTCAATATAAGTATAATTACTTTTTTTCTTTTGTTTACTTGGTTTAGTGATGATTCTGATTGGCAAACACATTATCGGATGCACAAGATAACTGAACTCATAGGCATTATCTCTCACTTTAATAAATATAAGAGGGATTTAATGTACGAGACTTCCAACTAATAGTGTCGGGGAAAGATAAATATATGTAGTCTTACTCTATAAACAGATTAGTTATTCCAACAATTTGACCACAAAGAAACAAAGAAAAGTAATGGATGAGAAGTTTCTAACAATACAGGAGCTAACACAACGAATTAGTAACTTTTGTATTCTATATAGACGACCAAAATAGTAACTCAAACAACGAAATAGGGTCTAAAGGTGTTTAAAGCATGGTTATTAATACTATATTGGTCATCAAACTGATAGTGTACAGTTGTATAGCGGTTTAATTAATGGTTCACTAATTAAACCGCAAAGTTAGATATACATATATAATATATTAACATTAATATTAAAAACAAAAATCTATTTTATTTTAAATAAAAATCGACCGGTATGACCGATACGGTTCAATTGAAAATCGACCGGGTATGACTAGTTTTTACCAGTATAATTGCATAATTGATATAATTATTGTATCGTACCGATATTGGAACCAATTCACCAGTTTACCGGTTCAACCGGCCGCATGAAACAGTTTTAATAACGGTTTAAAGTTAACCCAATAATGAATATGAATGATGATATTAAGAATAAATATAAACTACATACAAAAATCTTATAATAATATTTATGTATCACAATAATGAGTGAGATAAAACTGTAAAAAAAGTTGCTAATATAAATAAAATAAAAACTTTATAATTTCTAAATTTTGAATACCTTTTATAAATAATTTCTTCATACAACTATGGGTAAAAAATCTAAAATATATTTAGAATATAAAGTTTGTGGGTGCAAATGCCCCATTCACAACCACCTAGCTCTTTCTTGATTGCATGATTAGGATTTACCAAGTAAGAAAATTGTATGAATATATTGTTAGTATAAAGATTTATATACACATTCAGTATATCATTTATTATTGTATATTTTTTTAAAGAATCAATGGAAATTAAATATGAATAATGCATTGATAGTATATAAAACTCATATACTATCAGTGCGTAAATTTTTTCTCAAAGTTTATAAAAATAGGCCAATTGATCCAAGTGTGCTAATCCAAATGAAAATGATTTGAGCTACATAAGATCTAGGATTGGATAAGGATCAATTGTCCACATTCTTGTCCCAATTTCCTATATCAGTCAAATAAAAAATTTACAATTTATTAAAAATAAAAATTCTAAAAATGCGAAATAATATTATTATATTAGTTTGAGAAAGTTAATTGGTCAAAGACATATGAACATATTCATTTTGGGAGAGCTGATCATCATTCATATAAATATGGGAGGGTCCACATTTTTGGGATAGGATACTGTGAAAATAATAATGGTATTTGAAGAACCAAAATTGAACTACTTTTTTCTTTGAAAAAGAATGTAGACTAAATAAATAAATTTAAGAAAAAACATAGCATATAGTTGCACGTAGGAAAAGAAAAAGATTACCAACGAAATCTAAGGCTTTAAGGATATGGGACCAATGACTGGGAATGAAAATGATGGTCTGATTAGGATTGCATAGCATTTGGTGGAAAAAAGATCATAGGAGAGAAGTTCTTTTTTTTATGTTATTTTTAAGGGTAGAAATGTAATTTTATAAAAAAATAAAAGGACAAAAATGACATTATATTTTTCATTTTCTTTGGTTTTTTGGGTACTTGGTACGTCCTTGCAGAGCCTCTACCCAACCCAACTCACCTCTGCTTATTCTTCTACATCATTATTTACATTATCATCCTTCATTCTAATCTATTTTGTAGGAACATTTGACTCATGCATTTTGATCTTCAACTTTGGTTGATGGGGTTATTTACAAAAACATGTTAAAGGGCTTTTTTAATAAGATGGTTAATTATTTCTTATTTGTGGTAAGGAAAGTAATAATATAGAATAATGAGTAAAGTAGATTTATGTTCGATATTATTTCTTACTACTAAAGAATGTCCTTTTCTTCGAACTATATTTGAACCCTTTTAGTTACTCCAGATTTGTTAGAAGGAAACAATGGAAAAGGTAAAAAGAAGAAATGGAGATGTAAATTACATTAAAGATATTAATGTTTTATCAACTGGAACAATTCTATTGGTTTGGCATAGAGACATAAAAAAAATTCATTCAATTTTCAAATGTTAAGCATAGTATTTATAAAATATGATTATGAATAAATTGGTTTTGTAAAATTGTGCCAACACAAAAATGAGCATAAGTTGTCTATGTCAATTTTCTATGTCAATTTTCTATGTGCCACCAATTACAAACTCACATTTATATTTTATTAACTTTTGGTTAGTTATTATGGTGCAACTTTAATTGACGTGTCAATTTATAATTGGTGGCACATGAAAATGAGATAGAGAAATGACATAAACAATTTTTTACTCCACAAAAACTTCTCCACTTGCTATATTCGACCAAATCATGGTTTATATGCAAAATTGATTTTGCTATAAAATTTTCAAACATACACGAATCTAATAAGATATAAGTTTTGAAAATAATTTTAAAGGCTCCCAAAACCAAATGAGACACATTTCCAATACTCATTAAAAAAATATATTATTTATAACCGGACAGTTTTATTGGGTGTATTTCAGGAACCAAACCAAATACAAGTACGTGGTTCGATTCATTTAATATTGAATTTTTATATACGAACAAACTACTCATAAACTATTTGTTTTAGTTCCATGATTTGCTTGTTTTAAAAAAAAAATAGTAACATGTCAAATTGTATTCCATAAGCACTAATTATCTATTTCAATTACTATTTTAGTTAACAAATTAATATTCAAGCTCCAAAATTTAAAACACAATTAATATAACACAAATCACAAGAAGACATATTCATAAACTTAACAAAAGATTAGTATTATAAAAAAATGAAATAATGAAAATAACCTTGACTGTACTAAAATAATGAAAATAATTAAACATTGACAAAGAAAAATAATAATTGAAATAATAATAATAATAAATATGACATTTAATTTATATAAAATAATATATTTTTTAAATACGTGATTTAAATGATTCTTAAATCTCTGAAATCTTAAATGGTTTGTTAAAGAATAACTGAACTATGAAACTAAACCAAAATATTTTTTTATTTCGGTTTTAATTCAATGGTACCAATTTCATGAATTAAATGAGAAACGCTTAGCAGCAGATTATAAAGAGTAAAATTTGATTACCGGGCCCCTGCATCCTATTGTTTTGGTTAATCATATCTACTGACTCGTTTATTGCATACTATTTTTTATACTCGATTATTTGATTGGTTAACCATATCTAGTGTACTCAAATGGATATGTATATCATATTAGTGGGTTGGATAAAGTTGGCTAAAAAAAAGAGTCAATCCAACTCAATGTGATTCACTTAAAAGTGGGTTGGGTTGAGTTAATTACTTGGTTTGAATATATATTGAAAATAAATTCCCTTCTATAATAATTTGGAATATAAAATTAAAATTAAAATTCGGTCCATATTGAAAATTTTGACTAAAAATCATATGTATGTAAGTAAAGTTTTTTTTGATAGGGCATGTATCTGAGTAAATTAAAATATCAGATTATCGGTTTTGGGAGGAAGGAAGGCAAGTGATAAATAAAAAATTAATAGTGTTTTACGGATAAGTAAAAACACATTCTAAAAATAACTTCTCAACATAAAAGGGAAAATGCTAGTTATAAATACTGTATCAGCATGTTTAACTTGAAAATCAACATTCATACCGCTTTGAATAAGAGATAAAAGTTTCAGCTATTTCCTTTTCAATGTAATTTTATAATTTTGTTTTGATTGTCTTCAATGCTAAAAATGATCTTTATGTAATAGTTGTAGAAATTGAAAGAGTTAAGATAAGATAATGAGTCGATCAAACAAGTAATATGCATTCGCCTTATTGGATTTTGTCAAGGCCACACTTAATTCAGAGATGGTAAAGAATTTCTTTAGATCTTTGATGGCTTATGACATCAAGAAAATGTTATCGATATCTCAAGCTAATCTTCTCTTGCTCATTGAAAGCCATAATGTAAATACTCACTTTTGTCCTACTCCTAAGACATGCAAAGGAAAATTGGTTACATGATTTCTAAAAATATAAAAAAGTGTATTTATTTGCCAATTAGTGTTTTGATTGGAATTTTAAATGGATCCTGAATTTGTGGCGGATACTACTGATGATGATATCAAAAAGTAAGAACTCAAATGTAGTATTTTATGGAAAGGCCCCTTTATGCATGAGAACTTAAGACTATCATTTTAACATTTTTTTATCAAATACAATACTACTGTCACATTTTTTTGTAACTCTCTCATTCCATTTCGTTCCAAAACATCCTAATACAATTGATACACCACTTCATCTCTAAAGATATATATAATTACAACAAAAAAAGCATAAACATTACAACCCAATGACACACATTATGGTACGAGCTGTTAACATCAAAGAATGAAACATGGGAGCTAGAGTTGATTGACACCAATTGATGATTCAGCCTGGGAGGATATGCCACCAAGAAGGTTCTTCACAGTGGATCATCAACAACAATAATCTGGTTCATGATGTTGCTTTGCTTGCTCGATGCTCACATGCCACAATAACATAGTGAATCAACAAATAGCTAGTGGGGATGGTAACATAGTGATGGAGTACTATCCCAAGATATGTCAGTTAGCAGGAACTATGCCAGAATCAGTGTCTTTCAATTACAATTAAAGTCATTAAGCAGCATTAATGGATAATCTTGAATACAAGAAAATCAGAAACAGCAAGCATTAAGGTGTCAGTTATAGGAGTAATTCAGGCAAGTCAAAGGGTTTCTCATTAGCTAAAATCAGAAATGGCACAGCAGTTACATATTCATTGATAATTAGTGGCCAGTTTTAAAGTAAAAGGGAATAATAATCACACATAGGCAAGAAATCAGGGATACAATAGTAACTAGCAGACCAGGAATTCAAGAGGTTCTTATGAACCCTCAACCTTTATAAAAAGGCACCACATGTAATAGAGAAGAGGATATACCATATGTAACAGAAAGATACTTTTTTCACAACCAACATACCCATACTCATAACACACTTCCAAAGAATTTTCTTACTTTCATTTTCATCACATATACGTTCCAGTCTAAAAATTGGCAGCCAAACACCTATCATGTACAACAGAAAGAGAGAGGAGACAGATAACAAATCATAGAATACACATTGAAAGAGAATAACATTCATACACACACTGAGATCAAAAATCATAGAGAACCAAGGAGAAAAACAACATCAAATCCAAAAAGGTTATGGTCACACAAAGAAACCATAATCAGGTACCAACAGCAGGAACTAGAGAGCATTCCATATACATAATACCAATCCATAACAAGGAAATGAACAAAGGCATAATCCCAGGTAAGTAATTCATCCAATTTATTCGAGCATATATAAATAAAAAGGGTGCATCTGCATTTGATGTGCATATGAAATTTTAACAGAAACACATACAATTCCATTGAAATGCATACACCCATGTTTGGTTAGGAATGAAAACAGTGATGCATCATGATAATGCTAAAATAAGTTCGATTTGTTCCTGGTAAAATCATTGTCCATATTCATTTTTATGTCACCAGTCAATTTAATTACATTGCCAATTATGATTCAAATTCGAAATTGAAAGGGGGAAGGTTTCGTTACCAAAGTTCCCCTTCTTCTTCTCATCCCAGATTTTCCCTCTCCTTCTCACCCTCCTCTCTAATTTCCCCAATTCCCCTAAAGCCAAAAATGAAGACAACCTACCCGACCCCCCTCCCCTCTCAATCTCATTTTTCTCTTTTGGGCTTTCGGTCAATGCTTTGTTTGTTTTTATTTTATTTTTAATTGATTTTATGATAAAAGATAATAAAAGTGTAAATTATGTGTGTTTTTTTGTTACTAAATGCCTTACCCTCTTTTTTATTACTTTTATTGTTTAATGTGTTTAACCCTTTTTTTATTTATTATCACAGTTATATAAATAATTAACTCACATGATTTCAATTAGTATTAATATTTCTAAGTCCTTTTATTTTTTTATTTTTTTTGTTTGGTGAATATTAAGTAACAAATTATGTTTTTTTAAAACCACATTTTAATCTATTAATAGAAGTCTAATGAAAATGAATAAATTTCAATTATATTTTAACTATTTCCAGAAATCTCTTTAAGATATGAGACCTATAGTCTAAAGTTTTTTACTCGAGTTAAATTTAGATGATATCTAGTTCCTCGCCCTAGGTTTGTGATCTCTAGAAATTCCAAAATACTTGTAGGAATTACCAACGTAAGACACAAGAAGCAGAACATTTATTTTATTATTGTTTCATATCTCGGAACTAATCATCCTTAATTTAGAAAGACATATCACCCATGCATAAGCGATACAAAGACATCTTCGTGCTTTGATGTCCTTATTCCATATAACATCCATCACATTCCAAACCATGAGCTCAACACCCTAGGGATAATTTCATATCATGTCATGCCCAACAATGGATTAAACATCCTAGGGATAAGGTTAAAAACCCTTCCGCTCATGGCCATATTGTCAACCCCAGCTAGGTTCACAACTTCATTTGTTTGTCTTGATCCTGCTCTAGATTCCCTTTGATACCTCCAAGGGACGGCCCTGTCAGAGTGATAAGGAAAAGGGCTTGATTGCTTTGTCGCCCCCGCCTCTATATATAAATGGGGCGCCCATTGGGGCAGAGCTGCATAGAATGGGGTTCCAGCAGGTATATTTAGCACTAACACAAACTTCCTTGTGATCATCAGAGCTTGGATTCTTTGGTCCCCTTCTAGGACACAAAAATCAGAATCTTTCTTATTCTTCTCGATCACCAGCAATCGAGAGTTCAACATTTTTTGTATTAAGACTCTGAATTAATTACACCCTTTTAGAGTATGGTCTGTCGTTCCATGCATCATACATGCACCATCTTCATATACATTTCCTTTGACCATCTCCACTAGACCTTGATGGCACATCACCTCGAATATGTTTTTCAAAGGCGTCTTTATATCTTTCATTCTGTCCACAATGGCCATGTTGTTGTTTTGTTATAGAACCTTTATTCCTTGGTTCCCATGATTGGGCAGAGGGTTACCCGTAATAGTGGGAATGACATTTTTTGAATTCTAGCCATTTGGAATCAATCATGTCTCTATGGAATGCCCTACTACCCAAGAATGGTAGTCATAGCTGTTGTTTGGATTGTACCAGAGTGTTGTGGTATTCAGAGTTTGCCCTACTACCGAGGCTAGGATTCGCTCTGTTTGTAGGTGGGCAAACAACTCGGCATACGTGACTGGGATTGGGTCGAAGATCCTTTGAGGTTGGAATGACCTAGGCTGATTGTAGTTAAAATTTTGGTTGTTTGCTTGGTATGTATGGGGTTGATAGTTGTTGGGAGGTCTGACTTGTTGGGTAAGATATTGGTTGGGACGAGGTTGGTTGTATTGTGGCGTGGGAATGTGTTCGGCCGGTGGGCGGTATAGGCTACGAGTTGGTAAGTGATTTGTTGGGCTGGCTAGTACGGTGTTTGGTTATAGTGGGGACGAGGTGTATGCGGTCGGAGGTTATAATTGGTTTTGTTGGGGGGGTTCGAGATTCCCCGGCCACGTAGTGGGCCTCAGCTACTTTCTTCATTGCATAGTTGGGCTTTTTAGACTCCCCAGTTTGCTCCGCATCAAATTTCCCAGTTTTCATGTTCTGTTTAATCTGACCTTCGACCTTTATCAGAGAATTGAATATTCCCGATCATCTTGTCGAAGAAGGGATTTGGAAGAGTGTTGATAAAGATCGTGATCTGTTCGTCTTCCTCCAAACGAGGCAAGGCTTGTGATGCTATTCCTCTCTATTTCTGAGCATACTCTTTGAAGGACTAAGTGATCTTATTTGCCATGTTCTGAAGCTTGGTACGGTCTAGTGCCGAGTCTTCATTGAATTTGTATTGCCTTATGAAGGCATTGGACAAGTCCTGAAAAGTCCTGATATTTCTGTGCTCGAGGCGAATGTATCAGGAAGTGACAATCTCTACGAGGCTGTCCTAAAAGCAATGGATCAACAATTTGTCATCATGGTGGTATGCCGACATCTTCTGAGCATACATGTGAAGGTGGCTTTTTGGGCACGTAGTCCCATCATACATCTCGAAATCGGGTACCTTGAACTTGGGGGAAGAACGGCATACGGGACCGGACACATCTCGAAGGCGTTTTTCAGGTCCGGGAAGTTAGCCCATTCCACAACCTTGATTCTTTCATTGATTATGTCTCACATTTATTCATCCTTTCTTCTCCCCTTTTTGTCATGATGAGTTTCCTCTTCAGCTTGGTGGCCTACATATTGCTTGTCATTCTTATGGCGATGGTAATTCGGGTCTTCATTGGGGTGATGTTAGTTCGTATGTTGTCCAATTGCTAGTGACCATGTTATGTTTCGTCTATAGTCTTCCCTCAGTCTGTTGCATATTTCCATGCTGGGTGCCATAATGCTGCCCTTTCACTGCAGATTCTTTTCCTTTTCCTCATTATGTTGGTTGTAGAAGGATTCCCAATAGCCCTCTCTTGCTGCATCTTCATCATTATCCTCATCATTTCACTCATTTGTTCTCTCAACTCGACCATTTCAGACTTTCCATCCAGTTTTATAGGAGTTTCATGATCAACCATGGTTTTTGATTGAGACCTTGTGTTGTAGTGATGTCTGCGAGCAATGATTACTAAACTTGTTTTTTTTCTTCAAAAATAAAATAATTGTAATTTTTTGTAAAATTTTTACAAACATAAAAGGATTCATTGTTTCTTGAGAAGTTTGGTATTGTAAGACATATTGACCCGCATTTGATGACCATGAGGCTTGCCCCAATAGTTTCTCTTGCGTTGATGGCAATCCTCAGAAGAAACACTAGGTCTCAAACCTTGATTGCATCTAAATTCAGTATCCCATTGCAAGGTACTAACATTGAACTTTTTGCTTTATGTATGGTAACTTGGGAGCGTACTCCTCAAGGCCATTTACAGTTGATGACAACCTCTAGATTTCATACCAAGATCGTTATCTTATTACAAGACGTTTTAACTCCGTTGAGACTTTATTTGAGAATTAGGTGAGAGAATGAGAAAATAAAACTCAGAAGGATTGTGCGAATGAGAGACATTTTATTGATATTCATAGGAATGATTACAACTTTATTGAATATGAACTTTTTTTTACATAATCAAATTTCTCCTGATGCAACAGCTCTCCACTTCCTTTGTTTCCAGGCTAGCCTATCACAGATTTCATAGAAAGTTCTCATTGTTGGGCGTAGCTCTGTTTCTGGATACATTTCCATTTCTTGGCGAACATCCTCGAAGGTTATTAACCAATTGTCCTCCAAGTCCCCAAGATCCTCAACCATCTGTTTGCATCTTCCTTCCCATTTTTCTTTGTCCCATTTTCACTCTTGGAGCATGTTGTCCCAATTGTGCGACCATTCTTGTTGTTTAGCTATCAACTCTTCATAAGTTGTTTTAAGGAGTCCCAATTGTTTTGAGAGATACACTCTATCATATTTGACCTCAGTCATTGTCTGATGATGAGTCTTCTCCATATCTTCAAAGATGACATTTAACTAGTCCTCTCTTTTAAGTGTCTTTTCTAAGACCGCCTGATATTCTTTCATATTGGTCCTGACTCGAGTCTCTTCACTTTTCGTATCCTGGGTAAAAGTTTGAAGTCTGTCTGCCTTTGCTTCCATGGCCTGAACATCCTTTTGTGTTGAGTGCAGGGCACGACCTTGAACCTTCAATTGATGGCTCATATCGGCTATTTGCTCGTCCTTCTCTTTCCCTAACTCGATCAATTTGGCTATTTTTTTGTCATTCTCTTTCCCAACTCTGATTAGACGATATTTTTCTGATGTTGAGCACATGCTAGCATAATCTCTTTTCAGACTGATTTATTCTTTCTTCCGAGAGACGATTATTTTGTTGAGTTTTTCGATAGTTAACTCATGTCTTTCTATCTAATCTCGGGCTTCTTCAAGCTTGGCTCCCAATACTTTGTTCTTCACAGTTAGCAACAATTCAGTTTCAGATGGACCGACCGATATTTGTGGAATATCAACAGCAATGATTGTTTTTTATTTCCTCCTATTATTCCGCCATGATTTAAACTCGTCGGTATAGAAGGCCTTGCGTTCCCCCAATTCATGTGTTCTTGAGATATGAATATTCTTCAACGAATACCTTATTACATCCAGGGTTTTGTCAGTAGTTTCTCTGACTTTATACCATATCACAAACCCCTCACATCGTTCTTCGCGAACCGGTGTCATACCCCACTTCATCTGGCCAAGTACTAAGGCTGAAGTGAAAGTAAGACATCACCGAGGACCCATTAGTACCATGTTAGAGTAATCTCCACACGAGTACATTATCATGTCGTGCTTGTCGTACATGTTGCATTTGGTACCAAAGTTCTTGGGGTAACCTCCCTGAACAACATTTCCCATTCAGATAACAACATTGGTTTGAAAAATGCCTGTAGGCCCATTCAGAGTGGCATATGCTCGACTCTCTTCACTTTTCGTATCCTAGGCAAAAGCCTGAAGGCTTTCTGCCTTTGCTTCTAGGGTCTGGACATCCTTATGTGCTGAGTGTAGGGCACGGCCTCGAGCCTTCAATTGATGGCTCATATCGGCTATTTCTCGTCCTTTTCAAGTTACAGATTCTAACAGCACTCTAACCATGAAGAATAAGGTG